CAGAAATAAGTGACATAGATTCAAAAAACAAAACAATACAAAAGATCAATGAAACCAAGAGCTGGTTCCTTGAAAGGATAAACAAGATCAATGAACCTCTATCCAGGCTCACCAAGAAACAAAGGAAGAGGACCCAAATAAACAAAATCAGAAATGAAAGAGGTAAAGTAACAACCAACCCCACAGACATACAAAGGATTGTAAATAAATACTACAAACAACTCTCCTCTAACAAATTGAACAACCTCAATGGAATGGACATATTCCTACAAAAATAAAAGCTTCCAAAACTCAAATCAGGAAGAATAAAAAAAAACCTGAATAGCCAATAACTACGGATGAAATTGAAATAGTAATCAAAAAACTTCCAGCAAACAAAAGCCCTGGACCAGATGGCTTCATGGGGGAGTTTTACCAAATATTCAAAGAAGAACTAAAATCTATCCTTCTTAGACTATTCTAAAATATTCAAGAGGAAGGCACACTTCCAAGTTCTTTCTATGAAGCCAGCATTATCCTAATCCCAAAACCAGATAAGGACACTACAAAGAAAGAGAATTACAAGCCAATACCCCTGATGAGCATAGATGCTAAAATCCTCAAAAATTCTAGCAAATCGGATCCAGCAATCCATTAGAAAGATCATACACCATGACCAAGTGGGATTTATTCCAGGGATGCTAGGCTGGTACAATATCCACAAAACAATAAATGTGATGCATCACATAAACAAATTGAGAGACAAAAATCATATAATCATATCAATTGATGCAGAAAAAGCATTTGACAAAATCCAGCACCCTTTCCAGATAAAAACTCAGCAAAGTGGAAATAGAGGGGTCATGCCTCAACGTAATAAAAGCCTTATATGATAAACCTACAGCCAACATATTCAGTGGGCAAAAACTAAAACCATTTCCCCTAAGAACAGGAACAAGACAGGGATGCCCACTCCTGTTCAACATAGTACTGGAAGTGCTAGCCGTAGCGATCAGACAAGAAGAAGAAATAAAAGGCATCCAAATTGGAAAAGAAGAAGTAACATTGTCATTATTCGCAGATGACATGATATTGTACATAGAAAACCCTAAAGATTCCATCAAAAAACTATTAGATTTAATAAATGAATTTGGCAATGTAGAAGGATACAAAATTAACATCCAGAAACCTATGGCCTTTTTATACACCAATAATGAACTCACAGAAAGAGAAACTAAAAAAAATCCAATTTACCATTGCAACAAAAAAATTAAGATACCTAAGAATGAATTTAAAAAAGGAGGTAAAGGACCTGTACTCAGAAAATGACAGGATACTGAAAAAAGCAATAGAGGAAGACATAAACAAGTGGAAGAATATACCGTGTTGCCCTAGCCAGTTTGGCTCAGTGGATAGAGTGTCGGCCTGCGGACTGAAGGGTCCCAGGTACGATTTTAGTCAAGGGCATGTACCTTGGTTGCGGGCTCATCCCCAGTAGGGGGTGCACAGCAGGAGGCAGCTGATCAATGTTTCTCTCTGATCAATGTTTCTAACTCTATCCCGCTCCCTTCCTCTCTGTAAAAAAAATCAATAAAAATAAGAAAAGAATATGCCATGTTCATGGATTGGTAGAATCAACATCATTAAAATGTCCATACTGCCCAAAGCAATCTATACATTTAATGCAATCCCCATTAAAATACCAATGGCATATTTCAAAGACCTAGAACAAACTCTCCAAAAATTCATCTGGAATAAAAAAAGACCCCAAAAAGCTGCAGCAATCTTGAGAAAAAAGAACAATGTTGGAGGGATCACAATACCAGATATCAAACTATATTACAATGTCACTGTTCTCAAAACTGCCTGGTACTGGCACATGAACAGACCTATAGACCAATGGAACAGAACAGGGAACCCAGAAATCAACCCAAGCCATTATGCTCAATTAATATTTGACAAAGGAGGCAAGATCATACAATGGAGTCAAGACAGTCTCTTCAATAAATGATGTTGGGAAAACTGGACAGATACTTGCAAAAAAATGAAACTAGACCACCAACTTACACCATACACAAAAATAAACTCAAAACGGATAAAGGACTTAAACGTAAGATGAGAAACCATAAAAATCTTAGGAGAATCCATAGGCAGCAATATAGCAGACATATGTTTACCGATACAGCTCCTAGGGCAATGGAAACTAAAGAGAAAATAAACAAATGGGACTACATCAAAATAAAAAGCTTCTGCACAGCAAAAGAAACCATCAACAAAACAATTAAGAAAACCCACTGCATGGGAGAACATATTTGCCAATGTTATCTCTGGTAAGTGTTTAATCTCCAAAATTTATAGGGAACTCATACCACTTAACAAAAGGAAGATAAACAATTCAATCAAATAATGGACAAAGGATCTAAATAGACACTTTTCGAAAGGACATACAGAAGGCCAAGAGACATGAAAACATTAGCTCAAAGTTACTAATCATTCGAGAGATGCAAATCAAAACGACAATGCAGTACCATCTCGCACCTGTCACAATGGCTGCCATCAGCAAATCAACAAATGACAAGTGCTGGCTAGGATGCGGAGAAAAAGGAACCCTTGTGCACTGCTGGTCGGAATGCAGACTGGTGAAGCCACTGTGGAGAACAGTATGGAGTTTCCTCAAAAAACTAAAAATGGAACTCCCATTAGACCCAGTGATCCCACTTCTAGGAATATATCCCAAGAAAACAGAAACGCTAATCAGAAAGGATATTTGCACCCCTATGTTCATAGCAGCACAATTTACAATAGCTAAGATTTGGAAACAGCCTAAGTGCCCATCAGCAGATGAGTAGATTAGAACAGTGGTTGCCAAGTTTTCGGTCCTCGTGGACCACCAGTTGGCAACTGCTGGATTAGAAAACTGTGGCACATCTACACAATGGAATACTATGCTGCTGTAAAATAGGAATTCTTACCATTGATAACAGCATGGATGGAATAAGAGAGCATTATGTTAAGTGAAATAAGCCAGTTAGAGAAAGATAAATATCACATGATCCCACTCATTTGTGGAATATAATCAACATCATAAACTGATGAATAAAAATAGATACAGAGACAAAGAATCATTGAACAGATTGTCAAACTTCAGCAGGAAGGCTGGGGGGAGTTTTGGGAGGGAGGGGTAAGAGATCAACCAAATGACTTGTATGCATGCATATACATAATGAATGGATAAAAGAATAAATAAATAAATTTTAAAAAAAGAATCTAGAGTGGACCCATTTCTGTGATCTACTGTGGTGTTCCCCTGTGGTAGGTCTGCACTGGTGACTGCCATAGAGCACAGGAAGGGGTCATGTCCCCTAGTGCCATAAATATCATTTTAATACTGAGAGCCCTTTGAACACCTTATAGCAGCATACAGAGTGTTTTGTTTCACCTGTTGGACTCACTGACTGTTCACTGGGCCGTCATTCTCTTGGGCTCCTCTGGTGGGTACTTAGCACTTGGAAGTTTTGACAAACCAGTAGCAGAAAGGAAAACTTCATGAGGTTTATGATTACAGCTCAGGACACCTTTGAGCTGTCAGCACTTTTAAAGCTTTCAGTGACTGAACTTGGGTATTCTCTTTAATAGAAATATGAACTGCTACATAACAATTGAGTAATACCCCGGTGTTGACAGCAAAATGGTATTTCAGTGATCTTTTCTTCATCGCAGCTATACTGGCCTCAAAAATTGACCAATTTAGAATTGTGTAGTAAGTAGTAGGGTAACTGCATAGTTACACACCTTGGTGTCTGCTCAGGTACTGGCAGAAGTGTCTTTTTTTAAAAAAAAAAAGTTTGTTGGTTGATTTTAGAGAGAGAGAAACATCAATTTGTTGTTCCACTTCTTTATGCATTCATTGATTGATGCTTGTTTGTGCACTGACCAGGGATTGAACCCGCTACCTCGGCATATCGGGATGATGCTCTAACCAACTGAGCTACCCGGCCAGGGCAGGAGCGTCTTTCTTAAAAACCCACTTCTTGATGGGAGAAGATTTTACTTTGGGTGGCATACATGCAATACACAGATCTTATAACATAGAAACCCTCACCTGAAATTTGTATGATCATATTAACCAATGTCACCCCAATAAATTTAATTTAAAAGGGGGGGGAAGCCACTTCTTCTACCTTTGTTGTGTTTCTGTCCCAAACTTAGTCATATGAGTTAAAAGTATAGCTCCTGTGTGCCCTGTGGTTTTTCTCTTTGTTGCTTTGATTCATCTCAATTTACCTTCTCATCACCTACTTTTCTCTTTTATGAGTCCTTCAGAGTTTTAACTTCCTTCCCAGTTTTTTGTTTTTTATTTTTTACTCTTTGTGTGAATCAATGCCCGTTCTTTCTTTGTGGTTTTTCATTCTCAGTTTTGTCCATTTTGCTCTCTTTGTGCCTTTAGGTACCCTTTCCTTCAGATTAGAAATTTTATTTGTATTCTGTGTGAAATCTCACATCCCATTTCAAAGAACAGAGCAGAGTCCTTCAGGCTGACTGCTCTGTGTGGTTGGGTTTGGGAAAGCAAAGGACGGGGGTGGGTTTGGTTGTCACCTGCTTCCCGAGGGGCTTCTGACTCCGAGGGGAGTCCTGTGCTGGCCTCCCCCCACATGGTGGCATCCCACACAGGTTCAAGGTGGCCAGGTGAGAAAGGTGATCTGCAGGAGGCTCTAGACCAGTGGTTCTCAACCTTCTGGCCCTTTAAATACAGTTCCTCATGTTGTGACCCCCAACCATAAAATTATTTTCGTTGCTACTTCATAACTGTAATGTTGCTACTGCTATGAATCGTAATGTAAATATCTAATATGCAGGATGGTCTTAGGCGACTCCTGTGAAAGGGTCGTTCGACCGCCAAAGGGGTCGCAACCCACAGGTTGAGAACCGCTGCTCTAGACAGACACAGGTCACCTCCTTGATGGCTCTCACTAAGTCTTCACAGACCACTCAGTGATTATATTTTTGTTTCTTCCTATTAGACACCAGAGCCAGAACCAGAACCGCCCAGGGCCCCTGAGCTCAAGCAGGGGCTGTATGAGCTCTCAGCGAGCAACTTTGAGCTGCACGTCGCACAAGGTATGGCAGGCGGATCTTGTGGGCGTTCACAGTGGGATGCACCCTCTCAGAAACACTGACCATTTGTTACCCCTTCACTTGCTGGGCTTGTCCTTGCCACCTGAGGCCTCATAGAAAGCAGCATCTGGGACACTAACCAGTGAACTGCCACGCGGCCAAAACGGAAACCATCCCCATTTCTTCCGTATGCGCTGGAGTAGTTATGAATTTAAGTTACCATAATTTTCGTTACAAACCCAGAGATGTCACTAACGAGTCTGATTTTAAAATTGGGCGATCAGAGTTGATATGCGAGGTTTGCGGCTATAGACGTGGGTGGCGTGTGGGGAAGGCCCTCCACTTGCGTCTATCAGTGCTTATGGTATACAAAGGGTTAAGTAAGGATTTCTCTCTTCAGGGACCATTAGCATCATTGTTTAATGCTCTTCCCCTTGGAAATTTCTCCTTTGGTCTCTCTCCTTAAATCAGAGTTTTAATGCTAAGCTAAGGCCTTAGGTGAGGGAATTTGGAGCTCACAGATTGTGAGTGACACAATTCCTACACTAGCTGGACAGTGCATCCTTGAACAAGAAAGTGTGTTTATATTCACGTTAATCATATACTTACTGACCTGAGCCAGAAATAAAACTTTCTCTTATCTGCCCTGACCAGGTGGCTTAGTTAGTTGGAGCATTGCCCCCTGCACTGGAAGGTTGGGTTCGATCCCCGGTCAGGGCACATACCTAGGTTGTGGGTTCGATCCCCAGTCGGGGTGTGTACAGAAGGCAACTGATCGAGGTATCTCTCTCACTTCGATGTTTCTCTCTCTGTCTCCCTTCCTCCCTCTCTAAAATCAGTTTTAGAAAAACCCCACAACTTTTTCTTACCTGTTTAAACTAGAATTTAGTTTATTTAGTGGAACTATTATAACATGTGAGTCAGAGTTCTTCACACTTAAAATCTTTTCTTAGATACATCTTGTTTTTGAAAGTGGCCTCCTAAATATGGAGATGATCTGTGTACAATTTCTGATGTTAATAATGTAAGTCCTCCTTTCACACATTTCAGAAGAGTTGGCTCAGCAGTGAATGACTCGCCAACTCCATTCTCAAATGCTGCTATGGAGAGAAATCCTCCCCTAAGACTGGGTTGGAAATGTTGTGAAAGGGGCTTAAAATCGCATCTGGCCTAGTGACTTCATGCTGTGGGGAGTCAGCCCCCCACTTAGTGCTAAATAACTTCCCCCAACCCACTGAAGGTGAGAAGTAACTGGTGCCTTCAGCTGTTTCCACTTTCCTTGGAGATGGCTATTTGTGCTAGCCCCCTGACTGCAGCTTTGAGGGGTTTCCCTGCAGGGGGTTCACTTTAACCTGAGACCAGCTTGGGCTCCCTACAGGATGTGTTCCCCAAGTCACCTTGTTGGAGACCCTTCCCCGCAGCCAGCCTGGTCCCTCACTCTGCAAGCCATCGCTGAAGGCAGCCTTTGAGGATGCTGTCTGTGCTGCTGGCCTGAGGGTCTCCAGCCTCTGGTCTTGCACCTTCCGGGGGACACTCTGATGGGTCCCTGAGCGTCCTTTCCATCTCACCACCCAGTGTCAGCACCAGAGCTGTCTGGAGAGACAATTAGCCTGGAAGCTAATTTGCTAATCTTTTGAAGCCAGTTTTTCACCATTTCCTTCAAACGCATCATTGCCATAGTGATGAGGCGCTGCTGTGAGCGATGACGTGGCCAGGCACAGTTTAGCATTCATTGGCTCGTTTTCTCCCTGGCCGCAGCCTGATTTCAGTTTGATCTCAGCCTGACATCTTTAGGCCCAGGATGGTCAAGGTAGCACAGCCTAGGAAAACATCTTTCATGACTAAGTAATGAAGTTTGAGGATCTGATTTTTTTCCTTCTAGTCAGGAGAGTAATACTGTTTTTTAAACCTACTTTATTGTGAAATAAAACACAGATACAGGGAACAAATGTAAGGCTTAGTGATTTGTTATAAAATGGTCACCCTGTAACCATTTTTCAGTTCAAGACAAGCTTCGCTGTCCCCATCCCAGTCACAGCCCCCCGAGGAGGTGCTGTCCTGACTTTTATGGAAACCACCACTCCTTGCTTTGGTTTCATCACCCAAGTGTGTACTCCTAGATGCTATAGTTTGGTCTTTTAAAAATATATCTCATTCAATTCTGTTTAATCTACCTGTACCGCCAACATCTATTTTTCTTCCTAACATTCAGTTTGCTCATCACATAGGTGGTTTGACCTGTAGGGTCCCCACAGTGTGGCCTTCACTGACTATCTCCCCACAGTGTGGTCTTCACTGACTGTCTCCCCACAGTGTGGTCTTCACTGACTGTCTCCCCACGGTGTGGTCTTCACTGACTGTCTCCCCACTGTGTGGTCTTCACTGACTGTCTCCCCACGGTGTGGTCTTCACTGACTGTCTCCCCACGGTGTGGTCTTCACTGACTGTCTCCCCACAGTGTGACCTTCACTGACTGTCTCCCCACAGTGTGGCCTTCACTGACTGTTTCTCCACGGTGTGGCCTCACTGACTGTCTCCCCACAGTGTGGGCTTCACTGCCTGTCTCCCCACAGTGTGGCCTTCACTGACTGTCTCCCCACGGTGTGGCCTTCACTGACTGTCTCCCCACGGTGTGGCCTTCACTGACTGTCTCCCCACGGTGTGGCCTTCACTGACTGTTTCCCCACGGTGTGGCTTCACTGACTGTATTCGCACAGTGTGGCCTTCACTGACTGTCTCCCCACAGTGTGGTCTTCACTGACTGTCTCCCCACAGTGTGGTCTTCACTGACTGTATTCGCACAGTGTGGTCTTCACTGACTGTATTCGCACAGTGTGGTCTTCACTGACTGTATTCGCACAGTGTGGCCTTCACTGACTGTATTCGCACAGTGTAGCCTTCACTGACTGTATTCGCACAGTGTGGTCTTCACTGACTGTCTCCCCACAGTGTGGCCTTCACTGACTATCTCCCCACAGTGTGGTCTTCACTGACTGTCTCCCCACAGTGTGGTCTTCACTGACTGTCTCCCCACAGTGTGGTCTTCACTGACTGTCTCCCCACGGTGTGGTCTTCACTGACTGTCTCCCCACGGTGTGGTCTTCACTGACTGTCTCCCCACGGTGTGGTCTTCACTGACTGTCTCCCCACGGTGTGGTCTTCACTGACTGTCTCCCCACAGTGTGGCCTTCACTGACTGTTTCTCCACGGTGTGGCCTCACTGACTGTCTCCCCACAGTGTGGTCTTCACTGCCTGTCTCCCCACGGTGTGGCCTTCACTGACTGTCTCCCCACTGTGTGGCCTTCACTGACTGTCTCCCCACGGTGTGGCCTTCACTGACTGTCTCCCCACTGTGTGGGCTTCACTGACTGTCTCCCCACGGTGTGGCCTCACTGACTGTATTCGCACAGTGTGGCCTTCACTGACTGTCTCCCCACAGTGTGGTCTTCACTGACTGTCTCCCCACAGTGTGGTCTTCACTGACTGTATTCGCACAGTGTGGTCTTCACTGACTGTATTCGCACAGTGTGGTCTTCACTGACTGTATTCGCACAGTGTGGCCTTCACTGACTGTATTCGCACAGTGTAGCCTTCACTGACTGTATTCGCACAGTGTGGTCTTCACTGACTGTCTCCCCACAGTGTGGTCTTCACTGACTGTCTCCCCACGGTGTGGTCTTCACTGACTGTCTCCCCACGGTGTGGTCTTCACTGACTGTCTCCCCACGGTGTGGCCTTCACTGACTGTCTCCCCACGGTGTGGCCTTCACTGACTGTCTCCCCACAGTGTGGCCTTCACTGACTGTCTCCCCACGGTGTGGCCTTCACTGACTGTCTCCCCACGGTGTGGCCTCACTGACTGTATTCGCACAGTGTGGCCTTCACTGACTGTCTCCCCACAGTGTGGCCTTCACTGACTGTCTCCCCACGGTGTGGCCTCACTGACTGTATTCGCACAGTGTGGCCTTCACTGACTGTCTCCCCACAGTGTGGCCTTCACTGACTGTCTCCCCACGGTGTGGCCTCACTGACTGTATTCGCACAGTGTGGTCTTCACTGACTGTCTCCCCACGGTGTGGCCTCACTGACTGTATTCGCACAGTGTGGCCTTCACTGACTGTCTCCCCACAGTGTGGCCTTCACTGACTGTATTCGCACAGTGTGGTCTTCACTGACTGTATTCGCACAGTGTGGTCTTCACTGACTGTATTCGCACAGTGTGGTCCTCACTGACTGTCTCCCCACAGTGTGTGTGGTCTTCACTGACTGTCTCCCCACAGTGTGGTCTTCACTGACTGTATTCGCACAGTGTGGTCTTCACTGACTGTATTCGCACAGTGTGGTCTTCACTGACTGTATTCGCACAGTGTGGTCTTCACTGACTGTATTCGCACAGTGTGGTCTTCACTGACTGTATTCGCACAGTGTAGCCTTCACTGACTGTATTCGCACAGTGTGGTCTTCACTGACTGTCTCCCCACAGTGTGGCCTTCACTGACTGTCTCCCCACGGTGTGGTCTTCACTGACTGTCTCCCCACTGTGTGGTCTTCACTGACTGTCTCCCCACGGTGTGGCCTTCACTGACTGTCTCCCCACGGTGTGGCCTTCACTGACTGTCTCCCCACGGTGTGGCCTTCACTGACTGTCTCCCCACTGTGTGGCCTTCACTGACTGTCTCCCCACTGTGTGGCCTTCACTGACTGTCTTCCCACGGTGTGGCCTTCACTGACTGTCTCCCCATGGTGTGGCCTTCACTGACTGTCTCCCCACGGTGTGGCCTCACTGACTGTCTCCCCACGGTGTGGCCTTCACTGACTGTCTCCCCACGGTGTGGCCTCACTGACTGTCTCCCCACGGTGTGGCCTTCACTGACTGTCTTCCCACGGTGTGGCCTTCACTGACTGTCTCCCCACGGTGTGGCCTTCACTGACTGTCTCCCCACGGTGTGGCCTCACTGACTGTCTCCCCACGGTGTGGCCTTCACTGACTGTCTCCCCACGGTGTGGCCTCACTGACTGTCTCCCCACGGTGTGGCCTTCACTGACTGTCTCCCCACGGTGTGGCCTCACTGACTGTCTCCCCACGGTGTGGCCTTCACTGACTGTCTCCCCACGGTGTGGCCTCACTGATTGTACCCGCACGGTGTGGTCTTCACTGACTGTCTCCCCACGGTGTGGCTTAATGTGTCCTTGATCTCTCTATTCCCTGTGAACTGCTACTTGGATCGAGAGACATTAGCAGTTTCCGTTTGATGTTTTTGGGGGGTTGGGCAAGACTTCATTAGCTGCTGAGTCTCTCTGTGATGTCAGAGCCTAACAGTCACTGCCTAGAGGCGCTCATTTATTCTCGATACCAAATGCTGCTGCTCTGATTCAAGCATCCTGTCTCCATTTGTTGTTGTTAATCCTCACTGGAGGATGTTTTTCTATTGATTTCTTTTTTTTTTAGAGTGGAAGGGAGGGGGAGAGGTAGAGAGAGAGAAACATCGATGTGAGAGAGACACATCAATTGGTTGTCTCCCATATGCATCCCGACCGGGGACTGGGATTGAGTCTGTGCCCTTGCTGGAATTGAACCCAAGACCCTTCTGTCTGAGGGCCGATGATCTAACCCCTGAGCAACCGGCTAGGGCTTGCCTTATTTTTTTACCAAGAGAAACTTGCCTGGCTTATCAGTTGGTTATGCACGATAGGGTAAATCCAGATTCTTTCCCTTTATTTCCAGTTTTTCAAATAATAAGTTGGTTCCCTATTGTCTTCCAAAGGTGACAGATTAGTTTCTGCTTTGAGGATCGTTATGAACTCGTAGATGCAGACATTTTTGATGGAGAGTCACTTTTTACCAGTTAAACGGTTCATACTGGACTGAGCTTTGCAAGAGGACAAAAATGAGAGGCTTCCATTCCATCTCTGGTTAGGTGTCATGTAAATTACACTGCCTCTCCCCCTCTCTTTCCCGGCTCCCACGGAAGGCAACCACTTCATCAAGTTCTTCGCTCCATGGTGCGGTCACTGCAAAGCGCTGGCCCCGACCTGGGAGCAGCTGGCCCTGGGCCTCGAACATTCCGAAACTGTCAAGATTGGCAAGGTAAGCGCAGCCCTTATTAAACTGGAAATAGACCGCTTTGGCTGGATTAATTAGCAGAGGAGCCCATTATTCATTCTGTGTGCGAAGTCGCAGACTTGATTTATGATTTCCATTTAGTGTGCCCCTTGATCATTCATTTCACCTTCACAGATGGCAGCCTGGTTTCGAGTGTGCTGGCTTTTCCACAGCCCAGAGATAAATTATGGCTTTGGCTCCTTTGTTTATTTTGAAGCGATGGCCAATTCAGAATTGGCAGCCCCTGAGCGCTTTCTGCAAAGATAGGGGCAGCGCCTTGGAGAATGTTCCCTGGACGTACTTGGACACCGTCCACATTCGATCTCACCCAGGAGCTCTTTGCTGGAGGACCCTCCGAGCTCGCACAGGCGCCCGGGGACCCTCCGTGTGGAGCCCAGCTGCTCTGCTGCCTGGAACTCCTCCCAGCTTTTCCCACTTTGCGCAGAGCAGCCAGGAGTGATGTCTAACAACTTCTGTGTAACTGGATTTTCTCGAAATATTAGCCACTTCTGCGCCATCAGGCACTTTTAATCTCATCCATCCTCTGGCACCCAGCAGACCATCCCTGCCTGGGCTTCTGCTAATAAAAATCTCATTGTCTACATTGCCAGGGGCCAATTTGTATACAGAAGTAATGCTGTGTCCAGGAACTATAGTTAATAAGATAGTCTGCTCAACAGGGTGAGATGTCAGAAGCATAAATTTGGGCATCAGATAGACCTGGCTGGCCAACCTGGGCAACTTTACACCTCGTTCTTCCTCTCAGTGAGACTGAGATGAGGTCTAACCGATAGTCCTGAGGGTGGAAGTGAAGAGCTTAGCACGGTGCTTGGCACGGAGCAGTGGCTAGTAAATTGTAATAGTTGTTGTTAGTTCAGTGGATTTTTCAGTGTTGCCTGCAACACTTTCAATAATACGTCCTAGAATGTATGGGTGTGATTACAATTTTATATTTATTGAACATTTCATGGAAGTCACTATAAAGCAATCTTCTTGTCCTGTGTCTTCCTATGCCTTGTGTCCTTACTCTGTGTTTTGAACTTTGATGGGAGATTATTTTGTTTTCAGTTTATGCCACTAGAGCAGACACAGTCCAAGTGACTGTGCTGTGGTCCTTCATCCCTGGGCGTACGTGTGCCTGGGTAAGACTGGCTCAGAGCACGCACCCCACCCGCCCGATTTCAGTCTGCAGCGTCCTGTGCTTCAGTCCAGCACTTTTAACTGCTCTCTGATTTCAGTTCTTTGTTAACGTAGCATTTCCAGCTGCCTTTATCGACACAGTGAGGAACAACTTGGTCCCACAAGCTGATTTTAATACCAGTAGAAACGAAAGAAGTGACTTAGGATAAAATGTTTCATGAAAATGTTGAAAAGGAGAATCTTATGAGCATTTAAATGACATAAAAAATCTGAAGAGTTGTGATAGTTGGTAAATTGAGTTTATAGAATTAGGGACATAGTCCAAATTTAATTGGACTTCTTTTCAGTTTTATCTTTATCATATTCCAGGGACTTCTATTTGCAGTTGACTGCTTGTTCCTTTTTAATTTTAAAACTCCGTAAGTTTGAACTGAGAATAAATGTATAAGCTGGCTGCCATTGTGACGGGTGGGCGTCTGTCACCGACGCCAGGCCTGCCCCTCCCTTGGGGTCAGGCCAGGCTGTCCTTCTCCACTGATTGACCTGCTCAAGGTATTGCTCTCTGAAAGTGCCGTTTTCAGTGAGCAACATCACTCATGTCTCTAAAGTGAATGTGGTCCTCCTGCTCCCTTGGCTTGGGTGTCTTTGGGGCCGCGTCTGCAGGGAAGGCCGCAGAAACTGCAGCCTGCTGGCCCAGTGGCTGCAGGTCAGGGGCGTTAGAATTTTTCTTTTAAAGAAACCCCGAGGGCCATAGTCATTTTTGTCAGGAAGGCTCACAGGTGCTGACTGGACGGTGGTCTTGCCTTGCAGGTGGACTGCACGCAGCACCACGAGCTCTGCTCCGGGAACCAGGTCCGAGGCTATCCCACGCTCCTCTGGTTCCAGGATGGCAAAAAGGTGCGTATTTGGGTCTTAGCCACAGTGGGCTGAGCTGTTGGGTGCTAAACAGCCATGCGGATTGCCAGAATGGACGGTTTGGGCACCGGTTTAAAGGATACATGTAATGGAACAAAAATGCCTTTCTCTTAACTGATAAGATTTGGGTAGTGGGAAAAACTGCCAGTTGTTATACTATTTTGAAACCTTTCATTTGGCTCAGGTGGTTACTAGAGTAACCCAAATCCACCGTCCTGGGTAACTGAGCTCTGGCCATGGCCTCTGAGCAGGGTCCATGTGCCCTTGGTAAGGTTCCCGTTCCCGTCCCCGCCCCGGCTGATGCGCAGCCTCGCAGAGCGCCTGCGGCTGGCAGCCAGGCTGTGCTACGCAGCTCTGCAGAGGGCAGGGCTGTGAAGCTCTCACCAGAGCTAACCCCTCGGTTTGTCATCCGCGCTCTCCCATTTAGATCCGAGCCTGCAGGCACCACACAGCTCACACAACCAGGGGAAGGCATCTGACGGCAGGGTCCCGGTGGGCGAGGGCTCTCAGGAGGTTTGAGTGGCTCAGGCACTTCAGTGTACTAACTCGGCCGTGTTTCTGTGTGGCCCTTCTCTGGACAGGTGGACCAGTACAAGGGAAAGCGGGATCTGGACTCGCTGAGAGAGTATGTGGAACTGCAGCTCCAGAGTGCGGACCGCGGCACCCCAGAGGCCACCCCACCCGCGGAGGCCCCAGTGGGTGCTGCAGAGCCCGAGGCTGACAAGGTGGGTGCCGCCCAGCACCGCCCGCAGAGGGCGTTCTCTGGTGCTGGGGACACAGGACATGTGAGGACAGTGCTGAGCCATTCAGATGGCTGGTTACAGCTGACTTTTCAACACGAAACATGTTCTTTGACTATGTTTACATGTTTGTAAGGGGCAAACGGCAACATGGATGTGAGGAAAATCCCAAGAAGGAGTCGAGATCTCTGGGAACTTCCTCCCTTTGATTCAGTTATCACTGTACTTGAGGGTATTCGCTCTGAAAGCTTGTCTGCTGCCTCGAGGGCCCACTGTCTGTTCATTTCCACAACGTGCTGCAGGCATCTTACTGTAGCCTGTGGCTTATAAAGGCCATGAACACTGGGTAGCAGGACAGCTGTGTGCTGGAATTGAAGGCGGGTGGCTGGAGGACATTAATTTGCTTAGACGGTGTCTGACTCACTGAGGGCATCTTCATTCTCCAGGCTTTAGAGTCATTTGTTCTGTGATTATCAAGCCCTTGTTATGTTTCAGGCACTGTCCTGGGCCACCAGGAAGCAAAAGCAAGACCATGCCCCTGCCTGTGGCGACCGTGGGTCTAGTAGGGGCACATGAGAGCACAAGCATGCAGGTGTCGCAGGGGCTCTGAGAGTGTGCAGGGCTGGCCGGTCACTGTGTGAGAGGAGGGGGCTGATAGGCAAGAAGTGTCATTGGAGAGGTGACAGGTGAATGGTGTTTGCTGGAAAGGTGGGGAAGGCATGCCTGGGGGAGGAAGAGTGTGAGCAGCAGCACCGTGCTGGGGCCAGCGGGCGTCGCTTTGGCTGGAGGGCGAGGTAAAGAGGGGGACAAGGAGTGCAAGCAGGATGCAGAGGGAAAGAGTGGGGGTGGGGAGAGCTGGTTTGCAGAGGACTTTGTTGGCCAGCCAAGGATTTTGAGCTTATTTATAGGGATCCAATGGAAGGTTTGCGTTTTAGAAAGATGACTGGCAACAGCTTGTACGAAGGAGATGGAAAACTGGTATATTAGGTCATAAAAGAAGATGAGACCCCAATCGGAGGCTGACAGTGGGATGGAGGGCAGGAGTGCCGCCAGCACAGGGACTCCAGCTCTGAGCAGTTAGGACAGTGGGGTCTGCGCTGCTGCAGTTCCTGGCATAGCCGGTGGACGATGGCACCAAGCACGAGCAAGGGGCCCGGGGGGAGGTGGGGGGGTGGAGATGCCATCAGTTTTCAAGGTGTCGCTTTTCAAGGTTGTGTGGTGATGACTGGACAGTGTATCAGTCTGGGGCTAAAGCAGGCCGTCCGCACTACATCTATGTGTCTGGAGCTTTAGGTAGAAGCTATTGCCGAAGTTATGGGTTAGAATGAGATTTAAGGTGACTCAAAATAGTGTGGGGTTTTTTTTTTTTTTCAGGAAAACAATGCTTGGATTTCCTAGCAAAGAGCCATAAGGTCTGTCTGTCAACATATTTCCAAAGCAGACTACGTAATGTTGCTACTTCAGTTCACATGACTGTACTTCATAGCATGCCAGGTCTTACCTGGGACGCGGGGACACGGGGCAAAGGAAGGGGCGGCGTGCCAGTGCTCCCGGGGAGAGGGCAGCGAGCCAGATGTGCCTGAACGCTCCGCGGTAACCCTCCAGCCCTCAGCATTTACAGCAGAGGTCACGGCGCGCTGGAGCCATCTGTCCCTGGGTCCCAGTTGTTTGGAATTGAAAAAAGCCAGTGGAAACCCCTACCCATCCTCTCAGGGTTGGGGAGAAGGGGCCTCTTCGTCCCCACAGCCCATCCCTTAGTTGGACTCTTGCAGGTTGGGTGTTAGTTAAAAGTTGAAGTTTTGGTTTAAGAAGTAAACAAATGATTTTGTAGTTGTTATGACCACATGTGTTAGAGGAGTGTGTGTGTCATGGTGGTTAGAAAGGTCATCCCAAATTGAGTATAATTATATACTATGGATGTTTTCATCAAACACAGAGCGGCTTCTATTTATAATGAAGTTTTCCACCATTAAGTGGGCCTTTCAGTGAGTGTGGCGTCCTGTTTCTGGACATAAAGAAAGATGGCAGTGTTCTACAATGCCCCTGGCACTCGGCGCCTCCCGTCACCGACAGGCTTACTTGAGGCCAGACTCAAGCGGCGCAGCCCTGGTACCTTCAGCCACATGATAAATCACCCATATTCATGCTCTCCTGAGAGAATCGCAGATGTATTTTTGGAGAAACAGGAGACGTGGTCCTCTGAAGAGCTGTCATGGTAGAGTCACTTTGGAGCAGACTGCACCGTGCAGCCGGAGCTCAGAGGAGCAGCTTTTACATTTATTTACGTTGAATTTAAAAATGGAAAGAAGCCTGTTATAGGTAAAACACATCGTTGCCTGTGCTTTTGTAACTTTTTGTAAGGTCCCTCTATGACATAGAGGAAGTCATTGTTAATGAATCCCTGTGATAGAGAGTGTGGAGCCAGTGAGAGGAGCCACGGGTACGGACTTCAGGAGGCCCAGTAAGGGGTGTCTGGGCTCTGGTCAGTGTGGGAGGCTCCGAGGCAGGGAGGTCTGATTCAAGCCCTGTCCACCTAAAGCTGACTGGTCCACACTCCCGAGCCCTGGGGGACAGCAGCTGCCCCGCACCCACACTGGGCTGGGGCGGGGGAGGAAGGGGGCGAGCGCTGCACTGTCCTGCCACCTCCTCGAGGCATCTCATGGGCTCAGGATCCATGGACCTGTGATGAACCTCTGCCCTTCAGAGGCCACTGCTCTACCCTTTTGTGTCGTTTGTGAAGTGCAAGTTGTGTAGGTAGTTTTGTGTGACCTTGGAGTAGGCATAACAGCATTCAAAATTATTGGTTTGTCTTTCTGCAATCCCAAAGCATTATCCCCTGTGCTGTAAGTGATGTATTTCACTGTGGCTTTTCCACCCCTGAAGGGCGCTGTGTTGGCACTCACGGAAAATAACTTTGATGACACCATTGCAGAAGGAATAACCTTCATCAAGTTTTATGCTCCATGGTAAGTGGCTCCTTAATTAGAAACTACTTTTCCTAGTGCACTTCAGTTCCTTCGTATTTTTCAGCTCATTAGCCCACCCTCCAGGCTCATCCTGGGGCTCTGTTGTAGGAAATAAGGAAATGTTATCTTTATGCTCCTGTGTTCAGGTATGTTCCAGTTTGTGGTATTCATGACTATTTATGGAAAATTGGGTTAATTTATTTTATAGTTTGGTCTGCTTTTCCGAAAACATAATGGAGGAGAACTATGGTGGTCATATAGGACTTAAGTTGCGGTGCCTGTGTGCTTCGCCAAATAGATGGCTTGTTTTGGTTACATAACCCATAAACATTTGATGTACTTCTGCTCCTTAGTCTATTTTATTTATTTATTTTAAATTCTTTGTTGTTGAAAGTTTTACATATGTCTCCTTTTCCCCTATTGACCTTTCCTCGCGCCACCCCCTGTTGTCTCTGTCCATCGGTCATGCTCATGTGCGTGGATACAAGTCCTCTCTTTTAGATGCCATGGAGAAACCCAGCTGAAATCAGAGCCTTTCCTGCCACACGGTGCTCAGGGACCAGGCAGACAGGGACTGTGCACGGGTTTGGGAACAAAGCACCTGTGTGGGGGGAGGACGAGAGGCCCAGAATTTCCCTGAACTACTGTAGCTTTGGGTATTCTTTAATTCCTTGAAACATAGCAGTAAAACTGAAGGAAATGAAACACTGCATTTGGGAATGCAGGGTGCTGGGAGTGTCCGTTCCGTATTTAAAAGCAGACAGGAAAGGTCACCACATGCCATTTTGCTCTTTAGTTTGCTTCATTTCGGATATTCGTGAAAAACCATAATAGCAGAGATAAAAGTTAATGAGCCCTGCCTGGTTGGCTCTATTGGTTGGAGTGTTGTCTGGGCACCGAAGGGTCTCAGGTTCAATTCCTGGTCAGGGCACATACTTAGGTTGAGGGTTTGATCCCCAGTCGGGTGGATATGGGAGACAACGGATTGATGTTTCTGACATCCATGTTTCTCTCTCACCCTCTCCCTTCCTCTCTAAAATCAGTAAAAATATATATATATCCTCAGATGAGGATAAAAAAGAAAAGGTTTTGAGCACATGACTTGTATGAGTTGTGCTGTTTTAATTCTTAAAAAATAGAAATGCTAGCCCAAGCCAGTTTGGCTCAGTGGATAGAGAGCATTGACCTGCGGACTGAAGGGTCCCAGGCTCAGTTCCAGTCAGGGGCACATGCCTGGGTTGCGGGCTCGATCCCCAGTCAGGGGCGTGCAGGAAGCAGCTGATCAATGATTCTCTCTTATCATTGATGTTTCTATCTCTCTCTCTCCCTCTCCTTTCCTCTCTGAAGTCAATAAAAATGTTATATATATAAAAAAAGAAACACTAGTAAATAATGCCTTTAAAACTATTTTCTATTTTTTTAAAAAAAGAAAGCTATATAGATCAAGTTTGAAGATAGCGGATCCCCTTTTATTGCAGGGGAGCAGTTCTTGTAGTCAGAAAAGGGACACAGGAGTTTTGAATGATTTAGTGCTCACACCACATCACCAAAGCTTGAGGGGAGCTGTGAGGTTGTTTTGAAATGTTGAGACCATACGCAGTCAAATCTAAAATGTTTTTAGCGTCAAGTGATTAAAAAAGCGACGACGTTTGGAGTCCATTTTGTTCCCTGTTCGTTTCCTCCTGTTCACGATGCATTCGTAAACCAGTTGGCCCGATGTACGGATCAGGGACCTGGTTTCAAAACCCAGACTTGTTTTCACACCAGCTTGTTTCCATCAGGTTATCCAGGAGTCTGCTTCAGGCGGACTTTGCCGTCTTTGCTTAGGAGGAGGAAGAAGAGAATGGGAGAATTTGGTGTTTTATAAACTTCTAGGACATTGTTGATAGCCTCATAGAAAAATAAGGCTTGGCAGCGAAATGTCGGTGAGGGACCTCGACCTGGGACTTCAACAAAGTGGTCATTATTCCATTTCCAGGTGTGGCCACTGTAAGAATCTGGCTCCTACCTGGGAAGAGCTCTCTAAAAGGGAATTCCCTGGCTTGGCAGAGGTCAAGGTCGCCGAAGTGGACTGTACTGCTGAGCGCAACATCTGCAGCAAGTACTCGGTGGGTACCTGTGGGTGAAAACACTTCCGGGGACGCTGAGTATCGGAGCTGATCCCGCGTGGAGCTGGAATGTGGTATTGTTGTCTCAACCAAGATAACGCACTGCCCTCCTCCCTCAACAAAGTGCGATGTCTGTGTCCTTTTGAGGTGTTTTGATTTTTTACTTTGAAAAGGAAGAGATGCTCTGAGAGAAAGGCTTTCTCCCTCTGTTACAGGGGACAGGGAATAGGGGGCGGGTCTCGGCCTTGCTTCTGGGCAGTAACTGAGACTCCACCCTGGGGAGCGGGTACCCCTGAATGCACATTCTCACTGACAGTCAGCTGGCTTGTAGTCTTCATCAGAGATAACGAAGTGGCTTTTATTTTTTTACATATGCCAGCATTCTGAAGTCGATGGCTGAATAAGGCAACATTGGAACGTAGACTTCCTCCTGAGAGGGCATCCCCACCAGCCAGTCCTGCATTTGGATTGGTCCTTTAGCTGTTGCCTCCTTCTGAGCTGCTGGCACCGTCTAACAGCCTACACGATTTGTGATTTGTACTGTTCTTTCGGTTGCTTTCCTAAAATACCTTTGAGGCTTCTGATATTTATCACCTCATCAGATTGAGAATAGATGACTTTTTTTTTTTTATCATTGGAAAATGCAGGCATTTTTTTGTGCTTTCAAATTCTCAAAAGAGGAAAGAGGTGAGCTACAGCTGAAAAATATATCTCCTTGAGGGTTTCACTGCTACTCCGTATAGCCTAGGCACTACGGGAAGCTGGTCATAAACGCAGCCTCAGGCCCCATGCTGACTCCACCCGGCCCAGGGGCGCATGCACCAGGCAAGGACTGGGAGGCTCCACTCTGGGGAGGCATCCCTTTGACACTAATCGAGGATGTAATTTTGGATTGGAAGCTGAATAAATAGCCCCACGGCTTTGCTTGCTGAACTAGCTGGTACTTTTTAAATGGAAATTTAACCATAGACTTTCCTGGCCACAACAGGAGGTGTTTTTCTGGCTTTATTTAAGTAATTTGTATCTGATTCAGACCAGTTTTCAAACTGAATTTCCTCTTTACAGGTACGAGGCTACCCCACATTGTTGCTTTTCCGCGGAGGCAAGAGAGTCAGCGAGCACAATGGAGGCAGGGACCTTGACTCGTTGCAATCCTTTGTGCTGCGCCAGGCGAAAGACGAACTATAAAAGCGCAGGTGACGCCGCCCTCCTGCGGGCTCCGGGACTGAGTGGAGGAGCACGCCATGCGGACCTCGGGGAGTTTCAGGTGGTGGTTCCTCAGAAAGCTGGCTGTACTGAACTTGTGGTGTCTTCTGTGTGTGTGTGTTAGCCAACACACTCTACAGAATTTTTATTACGTTTCTCTAAGTAAATATGATCCCTTTGCAAACTAAGTATTTTCAGTGGCAATCTATCATCCCCTTTAACCTTCTCTTGAGGGAAGCTAAATGGTTTCCTTTGAGACTAAAACAGTTGAGGAAAAGCGAATCGCTGGACTATTTTTGGCTCCTGAGTGATTCTGGCGAAACCATCATCCAAAGCACAGTTTTGAACTGCCCACGAGTCTGGAGAGGTAGTCGCATGGCGTATTGTCATTCTTCTGATCTCAAGGTCACAGCTAATCATGTGGTTGGTCTGTATCTTGGAGCAGATTTAAAAACAAACCCCTGCACCTCTGGAAGGCGCCTTACCAGCCACTCCTGGATTTTGTTTCTGTTAGTACTTCCCTCATCGCGAGAGGTTTGCCATAACGAAAGCAGCGGTACTTTTGACGTGTGCCTGAGTGAGGTCACGCTGATGCCATAATCTTATGTGTGTGTCGATATTTGTCAGATCAGTTATTACTGTTCGAGGGATACTTCTGTCTGTTTCTCCTGGGTGAAAGGTTTCATTAGTTATGTTAACATTAAGTCAGGATCCACGTGAAGATTTTAAGTCCATGTTTAAGATTTGCTATCTCCTGTGGAAAATGTGGGCCTGGAAAGTTCCACGAGGCTTGTCCTGACTGTTCTGTTAACTCCTAGAAAGATTTCGGTGGTATCTGTCACCTGGGGAAAAGGACTAGATGAGCAGGTCCGGTATCAGGGGCCAGGGGACTTCGGCAGCCCTGCTACAGGGCCCTAACAAAGCAGTTTTAGTTCTGCTCCTCGGTAGTCCTAGGCCAGGGGTGGGGAATGTCCGGCCCAAGGGCCGTATAAAGGCCTGAGAAATCATTTGGTCTGGCCCTGCCACGGCCTTAGGGGTGAATTAATTTAATGTTTGACCAGATATAGCAGGCTAATTTTTAAGTTGATAATTTTGTATGGCCTGTGAATGGTGTTATAAATAACCAAATGGCCCTTGGCAGAAAAAAAGGTTCCCCATCCCCGTTAAAGGCTCTGTACATCGTCTGCCTTCATGGAGATTGACCCTCTGCTGTCTGAGGAGTGGGATTAACTTTACCTAAAGACCAAAGAATGAAGTAGGCGGGGCTGAGTCAGAGCTGAAGTAGGCTGTGTTACCATCAATGCTAATGCTCTTATAATTCATGCCTCTCTAGTTATTAAACATTTTTACCATCACCCTTGGAAATAACCATAGAACTAGGCTCCCTGTATGTTCTTTGCCATCAAGTTACCTTTCATAATAACCCCTCTGTCTACCACTCTCACCCCACCTCCCGTGCTTGGGGGAGCCAGTCACTTGACAAAGTAACTGGTGGTAAGAATCTTAGACACAAGAAGCATCTGCTGTCTGCAGCAGATGACAACAGAGCAGGATCTCGACCAGCCTCTGCCTTAAGGAAATCTTTATTAATTGTGTGTGGATCACAGATGTTCTTGTTAAAAAACCAACTTTTCAGGAGAAGCACAATCCTCATGAGTGGCTTCCGCTTTGCATCACGAGTCTTGTATTGAAAGAAAATCAAAGTGGTACAATTTGTTTACACTCTGATACTTTCTAAATAAACTCTTTTTTTTAAAAAAAAAAAAAAGTCTGGTCTTTCCTTAAATGTTACAGCAAAACAGATATAAAATAGACAATAAATTATAGTTTATATTTACAAAAAAGCTGTAAGTGCAAACAGTTATAGATCATACATGTATTATTTAATCAGCTTAATATGAAATTGGTTTCCTAGTATATGATTGTGAGAAAGACATTTAAAAAATATTCTAAAATTAATCTGAGTCTTACTTTCTACAAGAGAAAACTGATTTCGATTCATCAACAGCATGGCCATCCAAACCCATTCCTAAAGGCTAGCGCCCCTCGCTCAGTTTATGTCCTTTGTTGGTTCTCACCTGTGACACGGAATGCTGTACAGTAAAAGGGCAAGACCGGTTTTACTGAAGTAGATGAGATATGAGAGCCAGCGTTCCTGAAGTTACTGTGCTCTCAGAGCCGTTCCGAACAGGAGGAGGTGCAGCACTGCGTTCACCTGTCACCTGGGTGCCGTGGTGGCCACTGAGGATGCCCCACCCAGTGGCTCCCCTCAGGGCACCAGCCTTCTGCTGGTGGTGCTCGCAAAGGAAACCGCAAATGGGGGAGGACTGACGTGTGGAAATCACTTGGTTTGTTTTAACTGAAATAATTCTATTTTCACACCAACAGAACGCCAGCACAAACAGGTAACAGCAGTTACTGGACAAAAGGCACTTCCACATGGCCCTGATTATGGCTTGGGCTGTTGATCTTATATGAAACTGGCCTTCCTGGGAATGAAATCCTTGAATAGAGGCATTCCCCTCGCCCCGAATTTCTCTTAACTGTAGATCTATTTTTGAGAAACATTCTAAATTGGCTGATACTTCAGCCAAGAATACTTACACTTCTTTAAAATTATTTTCCCAGTTTACTCAGTAATACCACAAATAGCTTGATAGAAAGCTAAAACTAATTTTGGTGGGCTTTTATGGGGGAAGAGGAACCCTTCAAAGTTCTGTTTCTGCAATGTCCAGATTCCATATTACAGACATTCAAATAGCCTCCTACAGACCAACTACTCACGTTATTTACTACATGGGCAAATCATTACTGAGCCCCTTTAACGTCTTCCTTGGGCAGTAAGGCACCAACCGGCAAGAGATGGTTTCAAAGTCATCATCCCACTTTCACTGCGTCAGTGTGCTGCTTAAGGCAGGTGTAAGCTAGGAGCCCAAGGCAATACCTCTGACCCCAGCAACCAGTTTCAAGTTAGTGGCATCCACAAGCTCTTACAACCATATTCCTGTATTTCTTCAAGATAACATTGGAGTTGTCATCAAAGTAAAGAACTGAGATGGCATTTAGTTTAGTTGGCGCACAGCACGGTTTAGGGACATACTCAGGATTCATAAGGTGAACCTGTTCCAAAACAGAAGGAGGAAATCGTTCCATCAGAAATGACCTGGTCTTGGCTTACTCCTACCTATGCAGTGACAAAAGGCTCTGAGAGCTCACCAGTGTCTGGACGATCGCATGGTTCGTGGCATTCATATGTGCATTGAGTGGGAAGGAGCATTCGCCATCACAGTAATTGGCAGCATAGCCCTTGGGTGCAATGATCCAGTCCTTAATTTAAAAAAGCAAAAGCAAGCAACAAAGAGACGATTAACATACACTCCTTACATCATCTGTGCTCTCAGTAATCCTGTGAGAAAAATTACTCCCATGGACAGCTAAGGAGACAGATGCAGGGAGGTCAGTTTCACAGGCAGGTGGCGAAGCTGGGTATGAACCTGATGGTGTAACTACAGAGCCCTTGCTCTTTCCACAGGCCCAAATGGCATTTAGCTGCTACCTGCCTGCCAAGCCTGGAAGCACATGGGGCTGGCTTTATGTACTTGGCCTCAACGGAGCCTCTCCAGGAGCCCGGAGTACTCCCTGTCATGCCACCTGCATATGGAAACTATCTTCTGTCACTTGTCATCTGTAATTTGCTTCTTATAAACTGTGGTGACTCTCAGGTGTGGGGCAAAACCTTTGTGCTCTTGTAGACCATTTGGGTGAGCCATTGCAGAAGTTTAATTATTGATCCATTTTCCCAACCCTTTCTCAAAACAATTTGTTTAATTGGTAAATGTAAATACATACCCTGTGGACTTTGAAAGAATGAGGAAAGAGTATTGAAAAAGGTGGCTATTGATTTTGAGGTACACAGAGCTGGGGAACCCTGGGCTCCCTGGAAAGGTGCCAATAAGGGCTGTGTGCACACGTAAGCCAGGCTTTCACCCACCTCACTCCAAGAGCCTGGGCATTTGGAAGGGCTCCTATGTACCTTCATGGGAAGAACCATCTCAGTCCTAAAGCTCAAGATCTCGGATGATGGCTGCTGCCATGAAGATGAGAAGGGCCCACTGAGAAAGGAACTTTGTCCCCCTTGTACCAAGAACTCACCTGCCATCCCAGGTCTTGAAAGCTCACATAAAGCTCATGCTTCCTGCAGGCTGTTTTTAACTCACTGCTGTTGTAATCTGTTGGAAAAGATAAAAACATTAACTCATTCATTCCCTCACCAGGCACTGTATTAGGCTCAGGATAGCAGTGCACAAGGCCTCGGCAAGACACAAATTTGGTCACCAAACAGCTCCATCAGGTTTCCGGTAGCTTGGGTGTTTTACACACTCTGTCTTGTCCACTCTGGGTTTAGTGCTGGGCACACTCGCAAATGATACATAATATTGACCTGAATGGAATCTTTTAAGCAACAGATGTTTGTTGTGACCCCCTGATGTGTGCAAGGTCTATGAAGGGGGTGTTCCAAGATGCCCCAAACACTCTGGACTCCTGATATGGAAGACATCATATTTGCAGTAAAAGAATTATCCCAGGCAGTATTTGCTATATTTCTAACAGGAAGAGTCTTGAAGTTGTACAGGGGTTTTAAAGATAGCTGCTGGGCCAGGGAAGTATCCTGAAGGAAGTATAATGAGCAGGCCCTGACCCGGAGGCCCAGGAGTGGGGGAGAGGGAGACGCTGCAGCAGAGGCCATCCTCATCGGCACTGTCCTCCGGCCTCTCTGCATTTAACCTGCACTTAAGCAACAACTCCTAAGCCAGTAGTGCCAGTGAGATCTGCTGCTGTGTATATGCCCCTGTGTGCAATTCAGGAGCTACCAGTCTGGCTTAACCTAATCATTGGCAAGAGGAATGGCAATGCCCTGATTCATTAGGCCAGTGGTCGGCAAACTGGCTTGGGAGCCACATGCGGCTCTTTGGCCCCTTGAGTGTGGCTCTTCCTAAGCCTTAGGAGTACCCTAATTAAGTTAATAACAAGGTACCTACCTATATAGTTTAAGTTTAAAAAATTTGGCTCTTGAAATTTCAATCATTGTACTGTTGATATTTGGCTCTGTTGACTAATGAGTTTGCTGACCACTGCATTAGGCCAATTGTAGCGCTCTTGTGTGACATGCCCTTGGCTAGGCACATGGTGAAAAGGAAGATAGGTTAGACAACACTTTTGTCCTCCAGGAACTTAGAGAATCAAAAGGGTAGTGTGAGACATGTACAAGTTCAGGGTGGGAGTGAGAGGAAAGAGAGCAGTTCTATTGGAATGGGTTTAAAGATGTGAAGAGTCAGTGGACATAATGTCAGCGAAACTTGATCTTGATTGACTTAGAACACTAACCAAACATTCGAATTTTCTACCAGAGGTATTAGGTAAATCTTTAAAAGTTTTTTTTTGTCAGGGAGTGACACGTTCAGAGCTGGGATTCTAAAGGACAGATCTGATGATAGTGGTGTTTGAGAGTTCCAGAGAGGGGAGAGGGATGAAAGGTAAGAAGACTTTGGAGAAAAGCTCTTAATCTACAATGAACTTTGATGAATACGAGAGCCTGGGGCCATTTGCATGCTACCTCTTTTTTATCACATGAGCCAATAAATTACCTGAATACTTAAAGTCTGTCTGAACTGAGTTTTCTGTTACTTGCACCCCTGGACCTCCTGGCCCTGAAGCAGAACTCAACATGCAGATTTCATGATTTTATAAGAGAAAGAGACGAACAGTACCAACTCAGCCTAGCGACCTATCCTGGGAGGATAGACAGGCTATCTTCTGTAGTGGTTTCTAGTTCTAAGTTTATTCATTCTCCTCACCTGCCTTCTTCACTTCACAGAACCACTCTCACTGTAAGTTAAAGTACCTGGTAGAAGTGAATGCAAAACCACACTGGAGGGAATTTTTCACAAGGCAGGACACCATGGACTCTCTCAGTAAAAATAAGCACACACCAACACCACAAAACAAGACAAATTCCTCCTGTTGAAAATAATCTCTCAATGAAAAGAATTAACCACACAAAGAAAGTATCCTGAGAGAGAGTTGGAGTGCAAGATAGAAAATATAGGATCCAAGAGATTCAGGCAAGAGTAGTCTCTGAATGTGGTTACAGAAAATGAATATCTAAAATAATGAAAGAGTTAAGAAACAGAACTGTAAAGCAAGATAATAGGGAAAAGAACAGGTGAATTTGAAACAGAGCCAAATAAAATTTTATAAGAACCACTATCACTGAAAATAACAAAAGGGATGAGCTAAACATCAGATTAGATATAACTGAAGTGAGAATTAAAGAATTGATCAATATTTGAAGAAACTTGCCAAAATAAAGCCG